TATATAATTATAATTTTGTATAAATGTTTAAAGACAGGGTGTGTGTGACAGAGAAACCATAAGAACTGTACCTTTTGTGACAACAGGTTGATGGTCATCAGAAGACTCTATTTTGGTAATACAACTTTGAGGAAAAAGTTGTTTTATTGTTCAGCAACAACAGTAAAAAAAATTGTAATATATATGTTTATTGTAATATATAGTTTTTTTAGTTCACACAAAAAGTCTCAGAATCTGTACAAAATAAATATTGGTTCAAAGAGTTTTCACTCACTGTAACCTGATATAGAATGCTTTGCTTACTCAACTTATGTTAAACTATCTCAACTAAGGCAGTATTTCTCACCCAACAACAATGCTAGTAATGAAATCATAATAGACAAAATGTGTGTTAAAGTGTGATTTTTCATTTTTGCAAATGTTAAAAGTGCAAGTGTTAAAATCTGAATTAAAACAGCTTAAAACAATTATATATTTTATTAAAGCAAAGGCCCCATTGATTAAAAAACGCTTGTTGCATTTTTTATGTTGCACAATATTTCTGCAAATGTTTAATGTTTTTTTGGTAAAATATAAAAGATGGGTTTGTAAACAGGTAAATAGATAACAAACGTGGCAAAAAACTTCAGTACCCAAAATTGCCCAAAGGCGACACTTTAAAAGCTTTTACCACTTATCAATTTAGAGTTAACAGTGCATGATGGCACCGGATTTTTGCTCTTACTGTGACATCTGTGGCAATATATGGCGCAATTGTCATTTTCGCATGTAGGCACACCTGACGCGTATTTGCGTTTGTTTGTGCATGTTCATGGGGGTGGAGGGCTTTTTAAATATTTTACATTATTTTATTGTTTTGTCATTTTTCATTTTTTAGACTTTTTTTTACACTTAACTTTATTGCTATCACATAGGGGAGTAACAAACCCCCCGTGTAATAGCACAAAGGAAGTGACAGGTCCTCTTTATGTCACCCATGGATCCCACAGAAGCTGATGAAATACAGATCTTGCTTTACCAGCTTCTACTCCGGCCACAGCAGCCAAAAAAAAATCACAGTCTGAAACCGGAAGTGACAAAATGAACATTGCTTCCAGGTTCAGTAAGCAGAGGGGACATCAGCCACAGGAATTGTACTGATCTCCCTCTGGACAAGCAGGGCCAAAGATACTTGACAGCAGCAGCGGCAGATGTGGGTGGGGTGACACACACTTTTTAGCAGCATACACAAAGTTTGAGAAAATCCCTGTTTTTGAGTGCCCTCATATGTTTTTTTATGTGTTCCTATTAAAACAGTATACCTAAAAAGATTTTTTGCATTATTTGTTACCTTTTAGATGTGTCTGTGTAGCATGCCTTTGCAAGCTTCTCTCTCAATTTCCAAGTGACAGGAAACTTTGGCTGTTCCCATGAAAAGACTAGGGACAGAGTGAGCTTCCCCATATTAACATACAATGCATTTAAAAGATATTTAACCCTTTGTTAGGACAGGCATTGTTCAGATCTAGTTTACAACTGATAATAAGTAGTACAGACAGTGAGACAGTACAGACAGGGATAATTATGTTAACATTAACCTCCCCCCCCCCCCCCCCCTTGCATTTCAGAGCAAAATGTAATGCAGAGAACAACTTTTCTTTCAGAATAGATCATGCAATATGCAAGCAGCATTTTTTAAAGTTATGTTATGTGAATGAGAAACATGTAACAAATAAAAAATATTTGTTATCCCAATTTGGCTGCAAAAGTGGAAATACACTTTAAAGTGTATTTTCACTTTTGCAGCCATAAAGGATACATATTTTATGTTTGTTACATGTTCCCACTCTCATTGCTTAACTTAAACAAAAAATGCTGCTTACATTTTTAAATGTTTTACTTGCTTAAACATTCTACCTAGCTCCCCACCATGTGATGCTAAGGAGGGGACTGTAGGAAGTTATGTTTACTCTGAGTAACCCCATCTGGAATGTGTTGGCAGATCTCATTGTCAGTTGTAAACTAGATTTGAACACTGTCTGTCCTAACAAAGGATTACATACTTAGAAGCATTGTATGTTACTATAAGGAGTCACATAACTTTCACTTTCAAACTACTCAGAGTAACCTGCACTCTGTGCAAAGGCCTTCACCAAAGAAATGTCTAAAAGGTAAAAATATATTTTGAAAACGTTTGAGAGGTATGCTGTGTAAATGGGAACACATAACAAGCATATAGTGGGGTTTTCTTAATGTTGACTGCAAAAATGGAAATACACTTTAAAATGACAATAGAATGTTTTTACTTTCCATTGGGAGAACTAACATAAGACAATTTTTAATGTTCAAAATTAATTAACAATTGTATACATTTTTTTAATTAGTAAGTAAAATAGAATGCTTCACTTTTGAGTTAGCATAAAACTAAAATAATCATAAACTCAAAAGAAAGATATAATACA